GCATAGGGGTAGAGTCGTTATAGAAAAAAGACGACACTGGTTGAAATAGTCTGTCTGGGTAGTTTTTTAACGCTTGTTGGGTGCCAATGCGAAGCATTTTTAGAATGAGTGCCGCGAAATCAGAGGGCCATTTGGGCGGATCGTCAACCCCGGGAGGGAGGATCTTGGCGAACTTCCGGCGGAGGTTTCCGGGGCATTTAAAGTCGCGCGGTTGCGCCCGCACGGTGATCTTTGCCATGCTCCAAAGCTCCAGCTTCTCAAGTACCGACATAAAATCATCGATCTCAGGCCACGACAGTCTGGTGTAATCGAGCCAGAAGATACTCTTTTCACCACCAGCCGCGTAGCTCTGTAGAAAGGAACGGAACCGCATTTGTCGGAGCCTTATGTTACGACAGGGCAAATGGAATTGCTGCCGTTTAATGATCTCTTCCTTTCCTTCGATAGACACGAGTCCCAGTTCGCCGAAAAAATCATTCATGATGCGGAAATCTTCAAGAAAAGCGCCTCCCAAGCCGTAGTAGGTATATTCGGACAGGTCGTTCAGTTTCGCTATATGTTGAATCGCTTCCACGAACAGCAAACGCTCAACCGCTTTGTTTGGTCGCAGGCGATATGCAGGTTGGGTCAACTGTTCGCCTCCTGAAGTACGAGGTCGAAGCATTCTTGGCCCACGTCGGAAGGATTTCGCTCCGAATCTCCGGATAGGTATTCAGCTACTATCCGAACATCCTCGGCGTTTTTAGTAAAAGAAATTCTTCTCGTCTGAGGGTCCTCGCGTTGCGGCGCGGGCAGGTTCGGCTTGTACTGTTGCGCGTTTCTGAAAGGGATAGTAGACGGCGAAGTGCTCACTCCCATGATGCCCTCTTTAAGGTCCGAGAAGGTCGCAGTTTCGCCGGATGCAAACTGTTCCCTAACCTCGGTGGGCCGACTTTTCCATCGATTGGTATACGCAGTGAATAGCGCCATACCTTCCCGCATTTTGTTTTTTGTTTGCAAATAGAGCAAGGACGAAGCGTCAACTCCCCTCTTGGTCGTGGTGGTTGGCAGTTTCGCCGGGTCCTCGCACCTGAATTCAACCATGCCGGAAACGGCGATGAACTGGTTATGAAAACGCGGCACTCCGGTTTCTCCCCATCCTGTAAGCTCGCTGCGGTCGCAAAACAATACAGCTCGGTCATTACAGACCACGGTCCATCCAGCGTTTTCCGACGAACGGCTCGTTTCTTCTTGCTCTGATGAGACGTCGTCTTCGGATGGGATCGCCCGGTCGAACCCTACCGCCATGAAAACATCTACCCCGTCGTCTGTCGTAGTTTCGTAAGTGAATGGACGAATGACCCGCGCATTGGATGCGGTGTTCGGCGTGTATACAAACCCCCGTGACCTGGAGCTGATCGGTGCTCCGTTAATTGTGACGCTAAATCCTTTGTCGATGATGAACGAATAATGGGTCGAAACCATCTCCGCCAGTTCGGATTCTAAAGCTTCCCGCTGGTTCCCAAATGCAGCAGTTATTCCGTCGTAAAGATTCGTGACCATGATTTTAGTCCCGTCTTCGTGCTTGGATCGCTCTGTATTCAAGAAGGGTATGTTCCAATCGTCTTCGTCATGCAGCCACTCACGCGAAATGCTGACTTCGTAACTGGCATTCTCGTGCTGAGTGGAAATCACGCAACTCTCTCCCATCTTAAAGATGGCTCGTTTCATGCCAATGCCGTAAACCCCGACGGCGCCGCGCGGCTTTTCATCCTCTGGATAATCGGGAGCGCGTCCCAGCCTGAACGCATAATCTAACAGGGTCGGTGGGATGCCGCCACAATTGTCCTCGATTGCAAATGAGTCAGCGTCGAATGTTATAGCTGCCCGGTAGCCGTCGTATGGCCGAATGGCCTCGGCGGCGTCAGTACGGAGAATGCCGTCGACGCAATTGTCGAGCAGATCCAGGATGGCCTCGTCGAGTGCGATGTCTCGAGTCAACATCGACACGAAAAACGATTTGACCGGTTGCGCGCTAACGCTATCCCGTTCTCGTTCATGCAACATATGCCTACCCCCTACAGCCTTTAGTGCAACGAGTCTCGGATGACGGTCATCAACCGTTCCGCCATGATCGGACTAACGCTGTTTCCTATCTGACGAAAGCTATGCCATTTGGAAGGAGAAAATGTGAACCAATCAGGAAAACCCTGAAGTCGAGCACCCTCTCTGGGAGTGATTGCTCGAGGAACAATGGGATGTATGGGTCGGACGGCTTGATAGCTGCCTCTGTCAGGTCCAGTCCCCGCACGTATGGTCGGGCAATAACCGTCTGGGTCCAGACGTCGGGCTTTTGACACCCCATCGAGTTCGCCGTGCCGGAGTGACGCAAACCGCTTTGTCACCTCAGGAGAATGCACCGTACCCAACGTCCCTGATGATAAACCTTCGTTCCGCAATCGCTTCAAAGCGCGTGCGTCGCCGACACCCCGGGGTACGTGTCCCCGAAGCCTGGTAGCGAAATATCCCGTTCCTGGATTGTCAGATCTCCTCCACCCTTGTTCTTCGGTTTGCCAGTGCGGATCCACGTCAACCGGTAAGCCGTCTAGAGCGTCCCGAACCGTTACTGAAGTTACGTCGTTGGGGACGACGAAAGATGCGCAGTTAAATCCCTTCATTCGATCCGGCAAGTACCCGAAAAAAAATACGCGCGTCCGGGTCGTGGGTGCTCCATAATCGGAAGCGCAAATCTTGATCGGATCGAGGATCACATAGTCTTTAGACACGCGAGCCAGAGACGACTCTACTATCGGTTCGTAGTCCTTGCGCAAAATGCCCGGGACGTTCTCCGCTAGGAAAAACCCTGGCTTGGCCTCGTTTACAATCCTGAAAAAGTGGCCAAACAAGAGATTCCTGGCGTCGTTCCGGTCCCGGTGCCCCATATTGCTGAATCCCTGACACGGGGGACCGCCGATGATCCCGGCAATCGACTCGCCAGGCCACCCGAACAGTCGCTTCAGTGAGCCTGCTGTTAATTCGGCGACGTCCCCCGTGAAATGTGCCGCGCCGGGAAAATTCTTGGCGTGTATCTCCATAGCGCGGGAGTCGAAATCGACCGCGCCCGCAACTTCAAACCCGGCACGGGCCGCACCCAAACTCAGACCGCCAGCTCCGCAGAACAGGTCGATTACCTTTGGAACAGTCTTCGGCATCTGGGGCAACTCGGCATCAACGCTAGATAGGAGGTACACGACATATCGGCTGCAACAGGCTAATTGTACTCTGCCGATCTGTCAACGCGCCCATTGCTTCCTATCAGGACGTTCAGATTGGGTAGTTGTAAGACGGATCGAGGTTACCCAAACGAGGGAAAACCGCCTGTACGCATCGGGGATCAGTATTTCAGAGTTGTCGACGCCGAGAGCGGACCAATATGAGGATGGGGCGGTGTCAACTGGGACAGCCTTGTCCTTTGAGCTAGGCCACAGCATCTGTCAGTTGCGCTCGCCGCCCCAGATTGTAGACTGCGATAGTCGGTTTCGCCCACGGCCGATTGCGGGCGACCCTGTGGTAGCGCAACTTCCTGCCGCCGCCCAGTGTCTTCACCCACCCCAAGGCCTCTACATTTCGTTTACGTACGCGCGGGCTTACTCGATAGCCCTCATGCGGATTGGTGCGCCGCTATATTCCGGGCCAACCGTGAATCGGGTTCCTCACCGGACCAGCAGGCTACGTTGCCCCGCCCCTCCCACCGGGAGTCCGACGCCATATGCACCACTCCGAAGCTAGACGGAGTCCTTCCGTCCCGGATAGGAACCTCGTGTCCCACGCCCACCCTCCCGTCCACCCCACCAACTCCCACACAACCTCCCCGTGCTATCATCCGGCCCATGCCCCGCAGATGCCGGGTCGACCGGGCCTCTTCATGACCAGCATCGCGGACCCAGACCATCCGGACCGGCGACAACCTCGCCGCCGCCGCGGAAAATCCGAGCCTTTTGGGCCAAAATCGACACCCTCAAAACGGGGGGTTGACACCCCTAACATGGGGGGTTGAGATGCCAAAAACACCCCATCGAGAAGGCGTTTGAGAACTTGTGTTTCATAGCATTTTCGTCGCCCCGGACAGCCTTCAGACGCCCCCGGACCCGCAAACTGCGATCCTTGACCGCCCCCGTGAGAAAAACCGAGCCCCGCAATCTGGCCGTCGACACCTCCAAATCGACACCCTCAAAACCGGGGGTTGACGCCCCCACAAACGGGGGTCGAGATGCTAAAAACGCCCCATCGACAACCCGTTTTGGATCCGTATTATCACCGCATGGCCGCCCCGGCCGCATCGTGAGCGACCGCTCGCCGGATTGCCCTCCGGCCCGTCTCAGGGACTTCGAAATCGCGGCCTGAACCGTTAGAATCTCCCAATGACGTGCTCGACGTAATTCGTCAAGCACAAGACGAAACCCCCGGGACCACCAAAACGGCCCGACCTACCCAATCCTCCGCCCAGCCCTCCCCACCCGCGCCCAGGAGAGTATCCCCATGGCCAATCGCCTGATCAACGAGACCAGCCCCTATCTCCTGCAACACGCCGAAAACCCCGTGGACTGGTACGCCTGGGGCGAAGAGGCCCTCGGCCGCGCCCGCGACGAGGACCGGCCAATCCTGTTGAGCATTGGGTATTCCGCCTGCCACTGGTGCCATGTCATGGAGCGCGAGTCCTTCGAGAACGATGACATCGCCGCTCTCATGAACGACAGCTTCGTCAATATCAAGGTGGACCGGGAGGAGCGGCCCGACCTGGACGCCGTTTATATGGAAGCCGTCCAGATGATGACCGGTAGCGGCGGTTGGCCCATGACCGTGTTCCTGACGCCGGAAGGTCACCCCTACTACGGCGGCACCTACTTCCCGCCCGAAGACCGCGGTGGCATGCCCGGATTTCCCCGGCTGCTGGCCGCCGCCAGCCAGGCCTATCACACCAACAAGGGCGAGATCGACCGCGTCACCCGCCAGCTGTCCGAGCAGATGGGCCGCACCAGCGAGATGCCTCGCGGCTTCACGCCGCTGACCACGGAGGTGATGCACAACGCCTATTCGCAATTGGCGACTCAGTTCGACCACCTCAACGGCGGTTTCGGCAACGCCCCCAAATTCCCTCAGCCCATGACGCCCGAGTTCCTCCTGCGTTACAACCGTCATGGGTTCAACGCCCGCGCCCTCGAAATGGGTGGAACTGACCCTCCAGAAGATGGCCTATGGCGGCATCTACGACCAGGTTGGCGGCGGTTTCCACCGTTATTCCACCGATGCCTACTGGCTCGTTCCCCACTTCGAGAAGATGCTCTATGACAACGCCCTCCTCGTGCGGTTGTACCTCCACGCCTGGCAGGTGACCGGCAACCCGTTGTATCGCCGGATCACCGAGGAGACCCTGGACTACGTCCTGCGAGAGATGACCGACCCGGCCGGTGGGTTCTACTCGGCGCAGGACGCCGATAGCGAAGGCGTCGAGGGTAAGTTCTTCGTGTGGACACCGGACGAACTGCGTCCCCTGTTGGGCGACGACGCCGACCTGGTCATGGGTTACTACGGCGTCACCGAGCGCGGCAACTTCGAAGGCGAAAACATACTGAACGTGACCCGGCCGCCCGAGGAGTACGCCAGCCAGCGGGCGTGTCCGAAGATAGCCTGGCCAGGCAATCACCCGCGCCCGCGCCATCCTCCTCGACGTTCGCGAGCAGCGCATCCACCCGCTGCGCGACGACAAGGTGCTGACCTCCTGGAACGGCCTGATGCTGCGCTCGTTTGCCGAGGCCGGCGCGGCTTTGGGACGCCCCGATTACCTGGACGCTGCCCGCAAAAATGCCGATTTCGTGCTCGCCGCCATGCGCAGCGCCGACGGCCGCCTCCTTCGAACCTGGCCGAACGCCAGGCCAAGCTCACGGCTACCTGGAAGACTACGCCTGCCTGGCCGACGGCCTGCTGTCCCTCCACGAGGCCAACGCTGGAGCCCGTTGGCTACAGGAAGCGGTGTCCGTCGCCGACGATATGGCTTGCTGTTCTGGGACGACGCGGTTTGGCGGTTTCTACGACACGGGCAGTGATCACGAAGAGTTGGTGTGATTCGCCTCGTGACGTGTTCGACAATGCCCAGACCTTGCGGTGGCTCGTTCGCATCCGACGTGCTGTGCGCCTGGCGGTTGTGACGGCAGCGATGACTTTTCCGCCAAGGGCGCCACCCGCTGCGGGCCATGCAGCAAACTGCCTCGGCCGGGCGCCTTCCGCGCACCGGCCACTGGCTGGGCGCGCTTGACTTCTATGTCTCCTGCCCCGGGAGATCGTCATCGTCGGGCCATCGGACGATCCGGCGGCCGCACCCATGCTGCAGGAAGTGAGCGCGCGGTTCATGCCCAACCGGGTGGTTGTGGGGTGTATCCGATCCGGGCAAACCGACCTTTGCAGGACTCGCCGTTGTTGGAGACAGAGGGTGATGCAGGAAGGTCTGTCCACCGCCTACGTGTGCGAGAACTACGCTTGTCAGTTACCCGTCACGGACGCGGCCGCCCTGGCCAGCGCAATTGGATTCGTGACCTCACGCTGTCGTTACGTCCCTGGCGTAACAGTCCGGCTTGCGTCAGGGTCTCGCGGTTAACCGTGTCCGGCAGCTTGTAGCGCGGCCAGAGCACAAACCCGATCAGCACCAGCACGCGGCCATGACCGGCGCCAGCCGGATGCCCAGTGGGTTTCCGCCGAATCGCCCAACTGCAAAACCAGGCTGAGCAGCAGCGGGGGCAGCGCATAGGTGACCTTCTCGAAGAAGTTCTGGGTTGAGTAGAACATGGCTTCGCGCCGTTCGTCGCGCAACAGCGCGTCATAGTCGGCGATGTCCGCGGTCAGTCCCTTGGGCAGCAGGAACACGCCGCCATCGGCATCCCGGCGATGAAGAGCACGGACCAATCCCTGCAACACCAGCCCTTTCCGTCATCACCACGCCAATCAGGCTAAGCAGCGGGTATATGGCCCGCACGCGATCAGGCAGATACCGTAGATCCGCCGCTTGCTCACCGCCCCGGCGGCAAAGAGTATCCAGATCACGAGGCCAAACGCGATGGCTCCCCCGATCACGCTGGTCGACAACCAGCTTGATGCCGCCCGTCCCTTTCCTGCAGCAGCACTCCCCACCGCGAAAAACGGGATCCACCCCTGCAGCAACCCCGACTCCGGTGGTGAACATCACGAAGTCGGCAAAAAGGCTACGAACTGGGAGTTCGCAAGGTGTCGCGCAATCCTTCCCGGAAGGGTACCTGGGCCGGCGGTATGTCGCGGGGTGCGTGTTTCCATATCGCCGCAAGCGAGATGTAGCGACACACCAGCGCCGCCACCGCGAATATCGATCCACGCCACCTGGAAGCCGAAGGCGTCCTTGATGTACCCACCCATCACCAGCCCCAACCCGGCGCCGCCAACTGCGAACAGGAAGATGAAACTGACCACCTGCATTCGGTCCCGGGCCGTGCGCGTTAGCTCCGGAACCAGGGCCTCCAGCGCTCCGCTGGACATCGTGGCCGCCGTGAAGAACAGCTCCAGCATCAGCACGAAATAGACGGCGTTCCACCAATGCTGCCCGGGTCGGCAGGAACCAGATCAGAGCCCCGAACGCCGCGTAGAAACGCGTGCTGAACATGATGACGGTTATTCGCCGGCCCCACCGGCTGCGGCGTCCGGTCGCTCCACCAGCCGATCAGTGGTCGGGAAAGCATCTATGAAACGACCGGAGAAGATCAGGATCCCGGCCAGCACCCGCGCGTCAACCTCGTAGCCGAACACGCCGACACGTCTGGCACCCGCGCCATTCCCTCTACAGCCGGAGGCGCCAGGGAAAAACAGCACCCACTGCTGCCTGAAATAGCTCGATGGCCTGCCAGCCGATATGGTGGCGAATAGAGCAGTTTGTTGAGCAACGGCAAACGCGCTGTAGGCGTCCGGGATCCATCATTCATCACAATCAGGCCCCAAATTGCCGGCGCAATGTATCACACTCCCACTGCCGCAAACGGTCTCCGCGGGTACGGCAGATCATCCGAATCGCATACCGGCCATGGGACAACCCGACTGTCGATTTTGGTCCCAAGCGACTCGGGCGCGCAGTCCAATTGGCTACAGGAGCAGCTGCCTTCCTGGACGCTCGGCGTGCACCCCCAGCGGCCGCCACACCGTTCTCGTCAAACCCTTTGGCAGTAGACAGCCTTTTGGGTACCACCCCCCGGCCGTGGGGCTAACGAACGACCATCCGACTCTGGCAGACCCGATCGATCATCACCTGACCACCTACAATAGCGAGCAAACAAAAACCATGCCCCGGGAGCGCACCGCAATGCACACAACCCTGAGCCAGCTAACCTTCCCATCATGGGGCGAAACATATTCGCCCCTCCCCTGCTACATCATCGGGCGTCAACTTGTCAGCCGCTTGACCGAACGCCGGCCTGGTGCCACCACGGGTTCCGGTACCATTCGCCAGTATTCGTGTGTATAATCGCTAGGGTTAGCCTGTGCCGGTTGCTGCGCATCCGGTTTTCAAGTCCGGGCCTGCAGTCCAACACCCCTTGGCAACCGGTAGCGGCCCCGTCAAATTTTTGCTAGGGAGGAGATCATGGCAGAAGCCGCCAAGATCATTTACACCGAAACTGATGAGGCGCCAGCCCTCGCCACGCACTCGCTGCTGCCGATTCTCCAGGCCTTTACCAAAAGTTCGGGTATCGAGCTGGAGACTTGGGACATCTCGCTGACTGGCCGCATTATCGCCAACTTCCCGGATAGACTGACGGACGAGCAAAAATCCCCGACTATCTGGCAATGTGTGGCGAGTTGTGTCTGGACCCGTCGGCGAACATTATCAAGCTGCCCAATATCAGCGCATCGATCCCCCAGCTAAAGAGCGCGATCACCGAGTTGCAGGATAAGGGATACGACATTCCCGACTACCCTGACGACCCTGCCAATGACGAACAACGCGCAGTGCACGCGCAATTTTCGAAGGTGATTGGTAGCGCGGTCAACCCGGTAATCCGGGAGGGAAACTCCGATCGGCGGGCCTCCACTGCGGTGAAGGAGCACGGCAAACGCAATCCCCATCGGATGATGCAGGATTGGCCGGAAGTGTCCAAAACTCGCGTCGGCCACATGACCAGTGGCGATTTTTACGGCAGTGAGCAGGCTGTCACTATCGCGGAGGCCGGGTCTGCCGCTATTGAATTTGTGTCTCGCGACGGGCGCGTCACCGAACTCAAATCCGGTATCCCGCTGCAATCCGGTGAAATCATCGACTGCGCCGCGATGAGTGTCAGGGAACTGCGTGAGTTCTACGTCGAGGAAATGGACAAGGCCAAAGCTGAGGACGTGTTGCTCTCCTTCCACGTGAAGACCACCATGATGCGCGTGTCGGATCCGATTATCTTCGGCCACTGCGTGTCGGTTTACTACCAGGACGTGTTGGACAAGCACGCGCCCGATCTGGCTGAACTCGCGGTGAACCCTGATAACGGAATCGCCGAGCTCTACACGAAGATCCAGGCCCTGCCCGATGCGAAGCGAGCTGAGATCGAGGCGGACATCCAGGCTGTCTATGAAATCCGCCCCAAATTGTCGATGGTGAACTCCAACCGGGGCATCACCAATCTGCACGTCCCGAGCGATGTGATTATCGACGCCTCCATGCCGGTTATCGTCCGCGATGGCGGGCGTACCTGGGGTCCCGACAACGAGCTGCATGACACCATCGCGATAATCCCCGACCGCTCTTATGCGACCATATATCAGGCGGTGATTGAGGATTGCCAGGAGCACGGAGCGTATGATCCATCTGCCGTCGGCAGCGTCTCCAATGTGGGGCTCATGGCCCAGGCAGCCGAAGAGTACGGCTCCCACGACAAGACCTTCAAAGCTCCCGGAAACGGGACGATCCGGGTCGTTGACGCATCAGGGACGACCCTGATGGAACAGATGGTTGAGGAAGACGATATCTTCCGGATGTGTCAAACGAAAGACGCCCCGATCCAGGACTGGGTCAGGCTCGGGGTCGGTCGGGCCAGGATCACCAACTCGGCATCAGTCTTTTGGTTGGACCCGGAACGCGCTCACGACGCCGAGCTGATTAAGAAGGTGGATGAGTATCTGCCCCTGCATGACACCACCGGGTTGGACATACGCACCATGTCTCCCATAGATGCCATGCGGTTCACCACGGCGCGCAGTCGTGCCGGCGAGGACACCATTGCCGTGACCGGCAATGTGTTGCGCGATTATTTGACCGACCTCTTTCCTATCCTGGAGTTGGGCACCAGCGCCAAGATGCTTTCGGTCGTCCCTCTGCTCGAGGGCGGCGGACTGTTCGAAACCGGCGCTGGCGGATCGGCCCCCAGGCACGTCCAGCAGTTCTTGGAGGAAGGGCATCTGCGGTGGGATTCGCTGGGCGAATTCTGCGCTCTCGTCGCATCCTTCGAGCATTATGGTGAGGTGTTCAACAGCTCCGAAGCCAAACTTCTGGGGAAGACTCTGGATCAGGCCATCGGGGAGCATTTGGAACACCAACGAGCTCCGTCGCGGCGGGTGAACGAACTGGACACCCGGGGCAGCCATTTCTATCTTGGCCTCTATTGGGCGCAGGCGCTGGCCCAACAGACCGAGGACCCAGAGTTGCAAGCGCGCTTTACCGAGGTCGCCCGCCAGATGACCGACAACGAAGACAAGATAGTTCAGGAGCTGGTAGAAGCTCAGGGACAGGCGGTGGACATCGGCGGTTATTACCGCCCGATCACCGCAATGGCCGCCAATGCCATGCGCCCCAGCGCCACCTTGAACGCCATCGTGGACGCAATCTAAAAACCAACCGATTATTTGGAGGACCACTCACCAGATGCGAAGCAAAGTAACTGTCGTCGGCGCCGGCAATGTTGGCGCCACGACCGCCCAGCGGATCCACCAGCTCGGCTACGCCGACGTGGTTCTCGTTGACGTGGTAGAAGACCTTCCCCAGGGCAAGAGCCTCGATATGCTCGAATCCGGTCCGGTCACCGGTACCGACGCCCTGATCACCGGCTCCAACGGATACGAGGAGAGCGCCGGCTCCGACGTCGTGGTAATCACCGCCGGCATCGCCCGCCGGCCCGGTATGAGCCGCGACGACCTGCTGCTCACCAACATGCGCATCACCTCCGCCGTGACCGAGGAGGTGGTCAAGCACTCGCCCGACTGCATCATCCTGGCGGTCACCAACCCCTTGGACGCCATGGTGCAGAACATTTTCCAGAGCTCCGGCTTCCCGCGCAACCGCGTGTTCGGCATGGCCGGCGTTTTGGATACCGCCCGCTATCGCACGTTCATTGCCCGCGAGCTCAACGTCTCCGTGGACGATGTCCAGGCCATGGTGCTGGGAGGACACGGCGACGACATGGTCCCGCTGGTGCGCTACACCACCGTCGGCTGCATCCCGCTCACCGAACTGCTGTCGCAGGATCGCATCGACTCTATTGTGCAGCGCACCCGGGACGGCGGCGGCGAGATCGTCGCCCTCCTCAAGCAGGGTTCGGCCTTCTACGCCCCCTCGGCGGCCATCACCCAGATGGTCCAAGCCATCCTGCTGGACCGCAAGCGCATCCTGCCCGGCTGTGCCTACCTCGAAGGTGAGTACGGCATCGACGGGCTGTGCGTCGGCGTTCCCGTCAAGATCGGCGGCGGCGGAATGGAGCAGGTAATCGAGATCAGCCTGACTGACGAAGAGCACGCCGCGCTCAGATCATCTGCCGCATCCGTTCAGGAGTTGGTGGATGTGATGGCCAGCGCGAAGGCCGAGGCTGGGTAACCCCGCCCCAATCGCTTGCATTGCCTGAATCGAAACAGGGCGGGTCTGTGACCCGCCCTGACGTTTTTCGCCGCTATGTATAATGATTACAAACCCATCTGATACCACAGGAGGCGAGCATGACCCAGCGTACACCACTCGAACGGGACCTCCTCGAGAAGGCCGCCCAGTTTCTGCCCGGTAGCGGCACCGGCAACACCACCTATCCCGATGAGCTCAAGTTCCTGGTTCGCGAGGGCAAGGGAGGACGTATTTGGGATGTGTCGGGCAACGAATACGTCGATTGGTTGATGGGTTCCGGACCCATGATCCTGGGACACGCCCATCCGGCGGTCACCGAGGCGGTTTTGTCTGCCGTCGGCCGTGGCTCGACGTTTTTCACCACCAACGATCAGGCCGTTCTGCTGGCCGAAGAGCTCGTCGACGCCGTCCCCTGCGCTGAGCAGGTCCGGTTCATGACCAGCGGCACCGACGCCTGCTTCCAGGCCATGCGCGCCGCTCGCGCCTACACCGGGAAGGAGAAGATCCTAAAGTTCGAGGGCGGATACCACGGCTCCAGTGATTACGCCATGATGTCCGTCTTCGCATCTGCGGCCGTGGAGTTCCCCCAAGCCGAACCCAACACCGCCGGCATACCCAAAGCCCTGAACGACCTGATGCTGGTGTCGCAGTTCAATGACCTGGACACCACCGCGGCCATCGTGTCGGCCCACAAGGACGAGATCGCGGCCGTAATCGTAGAGCCGCTCCAGCGCACCATTGCCCCCAACCCCGGCTTTCTTCAGGGCCTTCGCAAGATCACCCAGGAGGCCGGGCTGCTGCTGATTTTCGACGAAATCGTCACCGGGTTCCGCCTGGCTTATGGCGGAGCCCAGGAATACTACGGCGTGACGCCCGACATGTGCACCGTCGGCAAGATCATGGGGGGCGGCTATCCCCTCGCGGCGCTCATGGGTAACGCCGACGTGATGTCAGTCTATGACCGGGCCGCAGCGCCAGCCGACAGCTACGTCGACCAGATTGGCACGCTCAACGCCTTCCCCATCGCGTGCGCCGCAGGACTCGCCACCCTGGCCGAGTTGCGTGCCGAAGGCGCCTATGACCGCCTCCACGAGGTTGGTGGACGCATTCGGAGCGCCCTTGTGGACGCTTGCGAAACCGAGGGTTTCTCCGTCCAGAGCGTCGGTGAAGATGCGATCTTCGACATCTATTTCGCCGACCACCCGGTTCGGAACTTCCGCGATGGCCTGGCTGCCGACGGCCAGCCTCTGGCGCGCCTCAACGCCGGCCTTCTGGGACGCGGCATCCTCAAGTCCTGGCCGCAGAAATTCTACCCCTCGATAGCCCACACCGATGCCGACATCGACCGGACCGTCGACGCCATCCGCGAAGTCGCCCCCACCATCAAAGGCTGACAACCGCCCGCAAGGGCCGCAAAAATGGGGAAGGGCGGGTGTAACTCCCGCCCTTCCCCATTCAGTTACAGCACGCGCGTCGGTTTACCGGCGCAAACCGGCTTTCACTTCCAGCGGACCCGTGCTGATGATGTGCTTTTTCATCCCCAGTTCGGACGGTGACATGCCCATGCCAATCCGATCAATTGCGGCATGTGCAGAATGGGCAGGTCAATGGACCGGCGCGCCTGCGAAGCCGCCTTGGGCTGAAACCCGTCCAGGTTCAGGTGGCACAGCGGGCACGGCGTGACCATGGCGTCCGCCCCCAGATCCTTGACCTCCGAGGTGTGCTTGCCGACCATTGCCATTGAGTTCTTTTGGTTGATGGTCAGAATGGGAAATCCGCAGCACCGTGTCTTTCCCTCAAAGTCGACCAGCGTGGCGCCCAGCGTTTGAATCAGCATTTCCAACGACTGCTGCCGTTCCGGGTGGTCAGCAATATCCAGCGCCTCGGTGGGCCGCACGATATAGCACCCGTAGAATGGCGCGATTTTCAGGTCGGTGAGCTGCCGCGTGATGTACCCGCCCAGCCGGTCCAGGCCGTAGTCTTCGATCAGGATCCACAGCAGATGCTTCGGCTCGGAGTTCCCGCTGTACTCCAGGCCTTCCTCGGCGAGGTATGAATTGATCTCGGCCAGGTACTCGGGGTTCCGCATCCGGTGGTTGGCCTGCGACATCACGCCCTGGCAGGTGCTGCAAATCGTCAGAATCGGGAGCCCCATCCGCTCGGCCTTCGCGAAGTTCCGCGCGTTCAGGGTGTCTCCGAACAGTTGATTCTTTTCCTGGATCACGCCGGCCCCGGTACACGTCCAACCGGGTATCTCTTCCAGTTCTATTCCCAGCCGCTGGCAACCATGTTGCGCTGCCGGGTACAGCTCAGGCGCCCCACCCTGGGAAACGCAGCCGGAAAGAAAGCGTACTTCACGAGTTCCTCCTCTTGGATCCGTGGGCCAGTATTAAAGGGGCGAATGGTCGTTCGCCCCTACCGGTCCTGAAATGACAGGGGTGCCGTCGGCAAGACGCGTGGCGGCTAGCCGAACGGAGAGTTGTTGCTGACCTTGGATGGCGGCGGGTCGGGCTCCAACTGGCGGAACAGCCGCCGCACCGCTTCAACGTTTTCTACGTTTTTGTGGATTATCGGCGGCATTTTACCCCGCCGCAATGCCCGGAACGCCACCGGCATGTAGTCCATCAACGCCGGCATGTTGGTGAACCCGCCCACCGATTTGATGGGAAGGCGCAACTCATCCAGTCGTCCGCTGTGGCCCACCGACTCGGTGAACGCGTCGGTATGCCGGGCGCCGTTGTTTTTGTCGTAGCCCTGCTGGATCGCCTGCTCGCGGATCGCCATGATCCGGTCCATCGGCGCGACGCCCTTGGGGCAGGCCTGGACGCACTCGTTGCACCGCGTGCAGTCCCAGATGCCGGTGGGTTCGCTGAGCGCCCACAGCCGCTCCATGGACACGCCGTCGGCATCGCCGTCCCGCGGGTCGGCCGTGAAGCGATACGCCTTCGCCAACGCCGCCGGGCCCAGGAAGGTCGGATCGATCTCGAGCACCGTGCAGTCGGAAACGCAGGCTCCGCACATGATGCAGCCGGTCACTCCGGAAAGGTGCAGCATCGCATCGTTGGAAACTATGTACTCCCCTTCCGGCTCTTGGCCCACGTGCTTCAGGAACGGATCGACGGCTTCGATCTTCTCCCAGAACATGTCGAAGTTCACGACCAGGTCCTTGACCACCGGCATAACTCCCGCCGGCTCAACCGTGATCACCCCGTCCTGCACCGCCGTATTGATGATGGTCTTGCAAGCAAGCCCCGCGTGGCCGTTGATGCGAACCGCGCAGGATCCGCATATCGCGCTTCGGCAGGAACAGCGCAACGACAATGTACCGTCATCGTCTTCGCGAATCTGGATCAGCGCATCCAGCACCGTCGCGTTGTCCGGGATGGTAACCGGGTATTCCTGCCAATGTGGCAGGCGGGTTTCGTCCTCAGCTTCCGGATCCTGCCGCTTGACCCTGATGGTGACATCCATAACCTAGTATTTCCTCTCTTCCGGCGTCCACTTGGTGATGGTTACCGGCAATTCGGACGTGACCGGTCCCGCTTCGCCTTGGGTGAGTACGATGTGGTGCAGCCACTCTTCGTCGTTCCGGTCCGGGTAGTCGGTTCGGGACTGCGCTCCCCGGCTCTCCCGCCGTTCCAGCGCTCCCAGCGCGATGGTATCGGCGCAATCCAGCATGTACCCCAGTTCCAGCGCGAACACCAGGTCCGTGTTGAACCGCTTGCCCTTGTTGTGCACCGGAACATTCTCGTACCGACGGCGGAGCTCGTGCAGGTCGCCTATCGTCTCTTCAATGCCCTCTTCGTTGCGGAAGACCGCCACGTTGCGGTTCATCGATTCGCCCATATCGCGCCGAATGGAAGCCCATCGGTCGCCGTTCTCCGGGCGGTCCAGCATCTCCTGGATCCGGCGCGCCTCCCGGTCCAGCGTCGCCATGGCGTCGAACTCCGCGAAGCCCATGTGCCGCGTCGCTTCGGAAGCGTGATTGCCCGCCCGTTCGCCGAACACGATGGTATCCAGCAGTGAGTTGGCTCCCAGCCGGTTCCCGCCGTGGACGCTCACGTTCGCGCATTCGCCGGCGGCGTATACGCCGTCCAGGTTTGTGAGTCCGTCGATGCCAGTCTTGATCCCGCCCATGATGTAGTGCATCCCGGGCCGGATGGGAATAGGCTCCTTGATCATGTCTGCGCCGGCCAGATCGATGCCGATCTCCCTGATTTGGCTCAGTTTTTCCATGATCAACGCTTCGCCCAGGTGCGTGCAATCCAGATACACGCATCCGTCCACCCCATTCCCGCCATTGATTTCGGTCTGCTCGGCGCGGGACACGACGTCCCGGGAGGCCAACTCCATCATGCTGGGAGCGTACCTCTCCATGAAGCGGTTGCCGTCTTTGTCGCGCAGGTAGGCACCCTCGCCTCGCGCCGCCTCGGAAATCAACACGCCGCTGCCCGCCAGCGTGGTGGGATGGTATTGCACCATCTCCATGTCCATCAGCTGCCCGCCGGCGTTGTATATCAGGCCCATGCCGTCGCCGGTAACGATCAGTGCGTTGGTGCTCGGCTCGAACAGGCGGCCGCAACCGCCGGTGCAGAAGATCACCGACTTGGCGCGGATCAGGAACAGTTCGCCAGTCCTAATCTCCACGGCGATGACGCCGGCAGCACGCCCTTCTTCCATGATCAGGGCCGTTACAAACCATTCTTCGTACCGCTGCACGCCGGATTTGATCAGCTGCTCGAACATTACGTGAAGCAGCGCCTGGCCGGTGAAGTCGCCCACAAAGAACGTCCGGGCCCGCCGCTGTCCGCCAAAGGCACGGGTGCCCAAACGGCCTTCGTCGTCCCGATTGAACGTGACTCCCATGTGCTCCATGTCGATCAACGAGGCGCCGGCCTGACGGCACATCACCTCGATGGCATCCTGGTCCCCCAGGAAATCGCTGCCCTTGATGGTGTCGTAGGCGTGGTCTTCCCAGTCGTCGCCCCGATCCAGCAGCGCGGCGTTGATGCCGCCCTGTGCCGCATTGGAATGGCTGCGAACCGGATGGACCTTGCTGATGATGGCGGTGTCCGCTCCGCCGGCCCGCGCCGCAATTGCGGCCCTCATGCCGGCCAAGCCCGCACCGACCACCAACACGTCGTGTTGCAAAACCTCTGCCATGTGTGTTTTCCTCCGACCGGCTGCCGCAAAGACCGGCTGTTGATGGCGCTCGAGAGAGGTGCCATTTGGCGGCGGCTAATTATCGCCCATAACCCGCATCGCTAGCAACAGCGATGCAATGCTCTTGGCGTCACGTATCGATCCGTCGGCGATCATGCCGGGTATCTCGGCCAGCGGGACGCGGCGCACACCGATGAACTCATCCTCATCGGCATCCAGTCGCGCCGGTTCCAAATCCCTCGCCAGATAGGAGTGTATGCGCTGTATGCAATATGCGGGCGCCGCCCAGTACGAGGCCAGCGGATCCAGTCGTCCGGCGGTGTGCCCGATTTCTTCCTGCAATTCCCGCAGCGCGGCAGTCTCGGGTCTGCTCGCCAGGTTCCATTTTCCCGGCCGGAGCTTCCAACAGGAAGCAATCGGCGGGCTTCCGGAATTGATGCACCAGCATCACGTCGCCGTCGTTGAAAACCGGAACCACGGACACCGATGACGGGTACTCGACAATCGCTGCGGTGTGCTCGCGCCCGTCCGGCAGGACGAAGGTGTCCTCCCGCACGTTGATAACCTGGCCCTCGTAGACGGATCGCGATACGGTCCCCGCCGAATTTCCCAGCGTGCCACTCATGCGTGGGCGCTAGTCAGCTCCGAGCGCCCGGGCGGCCAGCAAAAGCGCCGCCACGCTCTTGGCGTCCTGTATCTCGCCCCGGCCAATCACGCCGGCAGCGTCACTCAGTGGCACGCGTACTACCTCGATGAATTCATCCTCATCGGAGTCCAGGTTAGCCGCGGTCAGGCCGGTTGCCAGGAACGCGTACATGTACTCCGAGCACCAACCGGGAGCCAGCCAGAACGCCGACAGCGCGACCAGGTTATCCGCCGTGTGGCCGATCTCCTCCTGCAATTCGCGCCGCGTGGCTTCTTCGGGCGTTTCCCCGGACTCGATCCCGCCCGCCGGAACCTCCAGGAGAAAGTCGTTCGTGGGTTTCCGGTATTGCCGCACCAGCAGGACGTTGCCATCAGAGTCCACCGGCACCACGCAGATCGACGGCGCATGGTCGACGATTTCCCGAGTGCTTTGCCGACCGTTCTGCAACTGTACCGTATCGACCCGCACGTCGATGATCCGCCCGCTGTAGATGGACCGTGAGGAGATCGTGGGTTCGTTGTCGGGATACATCGTCATTTCATCGCCCGCTTATCGCCCTTGCAGGCTTAACCCCAGTCGTCGCGTCAGGGTCGCCCAGAAGTAGTTGTGCTCATTGGCTCTCAGGAACCTCGCGCGGTACGGACTGCGCGTGATGCGCACCCAGTCGCCCGGCGCAATCGGGTGGTTCTCGAACCCGTCCACGCTGATGATCGCTTCCTGCGAACCCTCCAGGTGAAAGTCCACGCTGCTGGTCGGCCGCAGCACCAGCGTGGTCGTCAGACCCACGTGGGACGCCAGCGGAGTCAGCACCACGTCGTCTGAAAGCGGGTCCAAAATTGGCCCGCCGGCGGCGAAACTGTAACCGGTGCTGCCGGTTGCCGTCGCCAGAATTACCCCATCAGCGCGGAAAGTCGACACGTCCGCGCCGTCGATCACCGCCCGGACCGTGATGACCCGGGACACGCGGCTGCGGGATAGCACCACGTCGTTCAGGGCGTGGTAGGGTCCCTCGGCGACCGACGCCTCGTCTTCACCACGCCGATACACCGATGCCATCAACATGCTGTGCTCGGACACGCGCATGCCGCCGGCCAGGTAGCGCGGCAATTGCTCCATCACGCCGGGCACGGTCAGTTCGGTCATGAATCCCAAGCGGCCCATGTTGATCCCCAGCAACGGGATCCCCCGGGGAGCTATCGCCCGGTTAACCCTCAAGATCGTCCCATCGCCGCCGATGGTAATGACGAGGTCTGTTTCTGCGGCGCGCACGTACAGATCTTCGGCGTCTTCGGCCCTCAAGATCCAACTGTTCGCGCCGAGGTTCAATTCGCCCACGATGGCATGGGCCAGATCCAGCGCCTCCGGAATGAGATCGTTGTACGCGATACCGACCGTTTTCATCTCCGCAAGTCCACCCACGTCTCTAGCCGCCGGCCAACAGCACGACCGCCGCCTGTTCCGCCGCTCCCAGGATCGTTGCCGGCGCCACGCCCAACCAGATCATGCACAGGGCCGCCACGCCCAGCGCCACGTTCACCGGCCAGGACCCGCCCAATCGTTCCGTGTGGATCGCCGGCTGCAGGAACATGACCTTGATCACCCGCAGATAGTAGTAGGCGGACACCACGCTGTTCACCACCCCAATGATCACCAGCCACGTCATCAGCGACTCGCCGGTGTTGATGGCGGCGGCAAAGATATAGATCTTCGCCATGAATATGCTGGTCGGCGGCACGCCAATCAGCGCGATCAACGCCAGCGCCAGCGCGATGGCCAGGAACGGGGCCCTCCTCAGCATCCCGGCGTAGTCCTCGATCTCATCGCTGTTGATTCTGTTCCCGATGCACACGATGGCGAAGAACGCCGTCAGGTTCGCGGCTGCGTACGCTGCAAGGTAGAACAGCACGCTGCTGGGTCCAAAGGTCAGCGACTCGTCGTCCACGGTTGCCACAGCGGCAACCCCGACCAGTATGTAACCCGCGTGAGCGATTGTGCTGTAGCCGAACATACGCTTGATGTTCCGCTGCGCTATCGCGACCAGGTTGCCGATGGTCATGGACAGCGCGGCCAGGCCGGCCAGCAGGACCCACCAATCGCCGCCGAGCGCGTCGAATCCAATGTAGAAAACCCGGAGAACCAGGGCAAATGCGGCCGCCTTGCTCGCGACGGACAGGAAGGCGACCACCGGTGTGGGCGCCCCCTCGTACACGTCCGGCACCCACATCTGGAACGGCGCCGCCGACATCTTGAATCCGAACCCCGCCAGCAACAGCACCACCGCCAACAGCACCGCCATGCTGCCGAAGGGCAATGCGCCTGACTGTGAACTCGTAGCCAGTGCGATGGCAATTTCGTCCAGTCGCGTGCTGCCGGTGAACCCGTAAATCAACGCCATTCCGTACAGCATCACCGCGCTGCTTATCGCGCCGACGATCAGGAACTTCATCCCCGCCTCGCTGGAGCGCGCGTTGGGCAGGAACGCCGCCAATGCTGCCAGGGGCAACGTGGTCAGTTCCAGGGCGATATAAATCGAGATTAGCTCGTTGGTTGCGGCCAACAGCATCATGCCGGTGGCCGACAGCAGCATCAGCCCGAAGTATTCCCCCTGCAATCGCTGCATGCGCCGGACGTAATCGTTCGACGCCAGGACTACCAGCCCAACCGCCGCCAGGATCAGGAAGTTGAAAAACAGCGCAAACCTGTCGATGGACAGGGTATAGAGGATCACTGACCCTTCTGCGGACAACTGGCTGGCGCCGCTGCTGGTCAGGTCCGCCAACTGCCACGCGCTCAACGCCGCCGGCGCGGCCAGCCCGACGAACGAAATCGCCACCAGCAAACCCGTGCGACGGGTGACCAGGTCCGCGACTATGACCAGCATGGCCAGGGCGGCCAGGGCCAAATAGGGCGAGACGAGGTAGAGGTCGTATGCGGTCATTTTGCGTTCGGTCGCTGAATTTAGCGGGCGATCCCGGCCAGACCCGTGTTGTACCCGCTCACTATCGGCTCCAATCCGTCGCGGAACACGTCGGTCAACCAGGCGGGGTAGACACCCACCGCAACAATGCTGATGACCAGCAGCGCGATGGGAACCAATTCCACCGGCCCGGCGTCCGTCAACTCATCCCAGCGCGCCGGCCGGAGCCCGAACAGTGTACGCTGCAACATCCAAAGGATATACCCCGCGGCGAGGATGATCCCCAGCACCGCCAGGATTGTCAGGATCGGAAACGCCCGGAAACCGCCAAAGAACACCAGTAGTTCGGACACGAACCCGCTCAGCAGCGGCAGCCCCAAAGACGCGGCGCCGGCAATCAGAAACGCGCCTGAAACCAGTGGCATGCGATTTGCCAGGCCGCCAAGGTCGGGTATGTAGCGCGTGTGCGTCTTTTCGTACATGACGCCCACCGCCACGAATAGGAGCCCCGTGATCGTTCCGTGGGTGAACAACTGCATGGCCGCTCCGGTCAGGCCGGCGTCCGTCAACGCACCGCCCACCGCCGCCACCGATCCCAGACCCAGCAGCACCAAACCCATGTGGCTGACGCTCGAATACGCGATGAGCCGTTTCAGGTCAGTCTGCCGCAGCGTCACCACCGCGCCATATAGCACGCTGATTACTCCCAGGGCCACAATTGGCAGTGCGAAGGCCTGCAACTGCTCCGGGAACATTCCCGCGTTGATCCGAAGAAGGCCGTACCCGCCCATTTTTAGCATCACGCCGGCCAGCATCACGCTGCCGGCGGTCGGCGCGTCGGTGTGGGCATCCGGCAGCCAGGTGTGCACCGGCCATGTCGGCAGTTTGACCGCGAATGCGACGAAGAAAAGCCAGAACAGCGCCCCCATGGGCAGCGCGGCGCGCGATGCGTCCAGCGCGCCTCCCGGCTCCAGCAGCCGTGTCATGTCGAAACTGCCCACGCCCGCGCTCACGAACACTGCGACGATGGCCACCAGCATGAACGCCGAGCCCAGGATCGTGAACATCAGGAATTTCATCGCCGAGTATTCGCGCCGCCCCGTGCCCCAGGTGGAGATCAGCAGGTACATCGGCACCAACTCGATTTCCCAGAACAGGAAGAAGAGCAGGAAGTCCAGGGCGGTGAACACACCCATAACTGCGGTCTGGAGAACGAACAGCCAGATGAAATACTCTCGTACCCGGTGGCTGATATGGAACGACACGAACACCGCGCACAGGCCCAGCAGTCCGGTCAGCATGACCAGCGGCGCGCTGATCCCGTCCACCCCCAGCAGGTAGCTGGCATGGACTGTCTCGGTGTTTATCCAATCCAACCGGTCGATAAGTTGGAAGCGTTCACCGCCGGGCTGGAACAATACGAATACGACCACCGACAGCAACAGGTCGGCGACGGCTACGGCGGCTGCGAACCAGCGAATGTTCCGGTCGCCACGAACCAGCCCAACCGCCAGCAGTAGCGCCGCGACGGTGGGCAGGAAAACGGTGACGGTCAGCAGGCCGGTGAATCCGGTTGGCATGGAAGGTTATCTCAAGGCCAGGAAGAGAATAATGATGACGACACCGCCCGCCGCTGCAACCAACGGATAGGTCTGCACTTGTCCGTTCTGCGCTAGGGCGATGAGGCTTCCGATGTTGCGGGAAATCCAGCCTACCAAACCGACCATTCCGTCCACGATGTTACGGTCAAACCAGTCGGTTATCGCTGCGATGGTCCGGTAGAAGACCCGGCCCACGATCAAGCCCTCGTAGAGGTCGTCCATGTAGTACCGCTGGGCCAGCAACGTGTGCAAGGGACCGCCTTTGCTCAGCGGGTCCGCTCCGGTGAAAGGGCGGGGCCAGGCGTAGGTGAGCGCGGCTAGGCCAATCCCCGCTGCGGCCACGACGTTGGATATGACCGCTATCCCGATGTTGAACGGCGGCGCGTGATGCCCATCGTGCAGACCGGAAGCGAAATATTCGGTCAGCCAGTGAGAGGGTATCAAACCGAAGATGCTCGGGACACCGATGGGATTGGCCAACCAGCCGGCCACCACCGCGCTGAAACCCAGTATCCCCATTGGAATCACCATCACCATTGGCGATTCACCGAGGTGTACGTGATGGGTGACGCCCGTCGGCGCCGGTTGCCCGGCTTCTTCCACGTCGTGCAGTTCGCGTTCTCCCCCGCCCCGGAATTCGCCGTGGAAGGTCAGGTGCACCATGCGGAAGGTGTAGAACGCGGTCAACAGCACCCCCACCAGCAGCATGGCGAACACCAGCAGGCTGATCGACGCCGGCACGGGCCCGCCGGCCAACCAGGACTCCAGCAGGATTTCGTCTTTGCTCCAGAACCCCGCCAGCGGGAATATGCCGACCAGGCTCAACCCTCCGACCACGGTGAGCCAATAGGTCCACGGCATCGCCTTGCGCAGGCCGCCCATGTACAGCATGTTGAAGGTGCCGGCGGCGTGATTCACGCTGCCCGCGCCCAGGAACAACAGGGCCTTGAAGAAGGCGTGGGTGAACAGGTGGAACAGGGCGGCGTTGTACGCGCCAATGCCCAGGGCAGCCATCATGTAACCCAATTGGCTGACCGTGGAGTAGGCCATCACGCGCTTGATGTCGTTGGCCGCCAGGCCCATCGTCGCGGCGAACACGGCGGTGAAGGCCCCGATCAGCGCGACCACCATCATCGCCGTCTCCGATTCGGCGAAGACCGGGAAGAACCGTCCCACGAGGAACACGCCGGCCGCAACCATCGTAGCGGCGTGGATCAGCGCGCTCACCGGCGTGGGGCCTTCCATGGCGTCGGGAAGCCAGGTGTGCAACGGGAACTGGCCGCTCTTGCCCGCCGCGCCGGCGAACAGTCCGAGGCACAGCCATACCAGCGCTCCGCCCGCAACGAGCCCGGCTCCGCCCGCCGCCACCGGGGCTGCCGCCTCCCAGATGTGCGGGATGTGCAACGCGTTGAGCCCGTGGGCGGCGAAGGCGTCCGCCTGGAAGAACAGGTAGATTATGGCAAGCAGGAAACCGACGTCACCAATCCGCGTGATAATGAACGCCTTCTTCGCCGCCGCCGCCGCCGAGGGCCGGTTGTGCCAGAACCCGATGAGCAGATACGAAGACAGGCCCACCAGCTCCCAGAACACGTACATCTGCACGATGTTGGCTGCTAGCACCAGGCCGATCATGGACGCGCTGAACAGCGACATATAGGCGTAATAACGCGCGAAGCTCTCGTCGCCGTCCATGTACCCCAACGAGTAGATCTGAACCATCAGGCTGACGCCGGTCACCACCACCAGCATCACGTTGGTCAGGGGGTCCAGCAACAGGCCGACTTCGATCGCAGCCGATCCCAGGTCCAGCCACAGGTACGGCGCGAAGTCATACACCTCGCCGTGCGCCGATGACCGCAGCAACCAGACCGACAGGATGAACCCGATCCCCAACGCCGCTATCGTGACGTAACCGGCCGTCTTCGCAAACGCGGGGCCCAGCGGGCGAATCACCAGCCCGATGAGCAGGAACGATGCCACGGGCAACAGGAAGATTGCCCACACCAAAGCTTCGGTCAGCATGTCCCGGAGGTCCTCACAGCTTCCTTACGATTTCTTCCGCGACGTGTTCCCGGCCTTTGGGAACGTAGATGACGAACGGCGCTCGCTCGCTCCAATCCAGGATGTCGCCATCCGGCAAAATGCGGCTGGGTAAGCCCTCGGCTTCCAGCACTTCTTTCCAGATTTCCGCCGCCATCAGGTTGGGGGCGCGTTTGAACTCTACCCACATGTCAAAGAAGGCTCTACGTTGCTCCGGTTTCTAATCCTGTCGTGACCGCGATCTCAGTGACGCAGTGTCGCGGCATCGGTTAGGTCGACGCTTTCGTTGGATCGGAACACGGCAAACACTATACCCAAACCCAACGCGATTTCCGCCGCGGCAACCGTGATGATGAAAACGGCGAACACCTGCCCGGTGAACACGGCGGAAAGTTGGTCCTGCACCGCGTATGGAGCCACGTACCTTCCCAAACGCCACCAGTGTCAGGTTCACGCCGTTGAACATCAGCTCGATCGACATCAGCACGGCTATGAAATTGCGTCGCGCCAGCGCCCCATACAGGCCGATGCAGAAGATGATCGCGGCAACGATCAGTAACGATTCGAGCGTCAATGCCCTATCTCCCGCGACCCCGCGCCAACGCCAGGCCGCCAATCGCGGCGCCCAGCAACAGCAGCGACACCGCCTCGAACGGCAGCACAAAGTTCCCGATCAGCAGGTCGGCGAGACCGCCGCTGGTCACGCTTTCCACCTCGGCCGCGGTCAAGCCTGCCGAGGTAAGATCTGAGGCGTCGGGTATGCCCACCGCCTGCGTCTGAGCCAGTTGCGCCTTGGCTTCCAGTCCCGCTCCCGCCAGCGTGGTCCAGTCGGTTGTCACTGCCGTGGCGATCATCGCGGCCAGCACCAGCGCTGAGATCACCCCCGCCGGGATTTGCAAACGGTTGGGCGCGTTGCCCTGCTGAACGTCCCGGGTGAGCATGACCGCAAAGATAAACAGAACCGCAATCGCCCCGACGTAAATCAAAATCTGCACCACCGCCAGGAACTCGGCGTTCATCATCACGAACAGCCCGCCGACAGCCACGAACGCCATGGCCAGCAGCAGTGACGCCCGGAACAGGTCACGCAACAGCACCACGCCCAAGGCGCCCGCGATGGCAATCACGGATAACGCCCAGAACACCAGGTGCTCGAACCACATTTAGGCGCCGTCCTCGGCGTCTTTCGGGCCGGAGGCAAGTCGCATCCCGGCTTTTTCCCGCTGGTGCCACCGCCAGTTCTCGCGGCCAACCTCCCGCCATCCCAGCGGCCGGCCGGCGCCCGGCCGGTAGTCCATGCCTTCCAACTGCGGGCGAAACCAGGTGCTCGGGTTCTTCTCGGCCTGACGCAGCCGGTCAATGCCGATCACCAGGTCGGTCCGCCGGTACTGGGCCTCTTCAAACCCGCTGCCCATGAACAACGCGTCATAGGGACACGCCTCAACGCACAGGCCGCAGAACATGCACCGCTGCAATTCGATGTCAAAGGTCTCCAGGCGATACTTGTCGCCCTCCAACGGCGCAGTTTCGCTGGGTGCGGTGACGATTTTGATGATCCCCAAGGGGCAGTACTTGGCGCACGACGCGCAACCCGTGCAGCGTTCTTCGTACCAGGTGAACTCCTCGCCCCGGAAGCGCGGGTGTTGTCGGAGTCGCTGTTCCGGGTACGCGGTAGTGAAAGGTTTGCGTACCAGGTTTGACAGCGTGACCATCAGCCCTTTCGCCATTTCCAGTCCGTACACTACGTCACCTCCGCCGTTCTAGCTCAACCGAATTGTCGGCGCGCCGGCCACGGCCGTGTTCGAAGCCGGCGTCGGATGCGCGTCGGTGCGCACTTTTTCGCGGATGAACCGGCCGAAGAAGACAATGGACGCGCCCGCCAGGATTATGTTGATGCCGGCCATGATCCACAGGTCCGCTGTGCTCAGTGAGCCGGTGGCATCCCGCAGGAAGAACACTTCAAGGACGACCGCGACCAGGTTGATAATGCTCAACGGCATCAGGAACTTCCAGCAAACCGCCATGATTTGGTCCAACCGCAGTCGTGGGTAGGTGGACCTGATCCAAACGAACAGGAAGATGCCGATGAAGGTCTTGATCAGGAACCACAGCCACCCCAACCAGTCGGCGACCGGTCCCGCCCAGCCCGCGAGGAAAAGCGTGGCTATCAGGCCGGACACCACCAGCACCCCTCCGAATTCGGCGGCTTGGATCAGCGCGAATTTGATGCCGCTGTACTCGGTGTGGTAGCCCGCGATGATTTCCGATTCCGCCTCCGCGACGTCGAAGGGCGTCCGGTTCAACTCCGCGGACATTCCTGCGATGAACACGAAAAACGCCAACGGCTGCACCAGGAAGAATGGCACCGCCTGCGCCGCCACAATGTCTCCCAGCGACATCGATCCGGCCACCAGTACCACCCCCAGCAAGGACAGCACCACCGGCACTTCGTAGCTGAGCAAAACAGCCACCGCGCGGCCGGCGCCGAACAGGGCGTACCGGTTGTTGGATGCCCATCCGGCGGTGAATATCGCAATCGAGGTCAGCGAACTCACGGCCAGGATGAACAGCACCCCGACGTTCAGGTCAACCAGCGCCACGTCCTTCGCGAACGGGATCACCGCTGCGCCCACCAGCAGCGACGCCACCATGATGATGGGCACGGCGGTGAACGCCAACTTGTCGGCGCCGTAGGGAATTATGTCCTCTTTGGTGATCAATTTGGCCAGATCCGCGATCGGTTGCAGGGCGCCGAACGGCCCCCAGCGGTTGGGACCCACCCGGTTCTGGAACCGGCCCAGCAGCCGGCGTTCTCCCCAGCTGACGATGGCCGCTCCCAACAACACCGCGTTGATCAGGATCAGCATGATGACCAGGCCGGCAACCAGATAGCTGAGCCAGCACGGCGCAATATGGGCAACCGCGCTGTAGATGAAGTAGAAAAGCGGATTGCCGCCCAGCACGCCGTCGGCGCTGAGCATCCCCTCGAGATTCGCCACGCACCGCATCAGCGGTCGACCTCGCCCATGTTTATGTCAACACTGCCCAACGATACGATCATGTCGGCCAGTTTCCATCCCAGAAGCAAGTGCTCCGTGATCGTCAGATTGATGAGGGAAGGCGACCGTATCTTGCAGCGGTAAGGTGCCACCCCGCCGTCGCTCACCAGGAAGAACCCCAGCTCGCCCTTCGAAGCCTCCACTCGGCCGTATGCCTCCGCGCCCGGCGCTGCCCGCAGGACCAAGGGCAACTCCAGCCGCACCGGCCCGGGTTCAATTTGCGCCACGCACTGCCGCACGATCCGCAGGCTTTGATGCACTTCCTGCATTCGGACCCAGAACCGGTCGTAGTTGTCTCCGTTCTCGCCCACCGGCACGTCGAACTCAACCTGGTCATAGGCATCGTATGGCGCGATCTTGCGCCAGTCCCAACTCACCCCACTGGCGCGCAGGACCGGACCGCTTACCGAGCAGTTGATCGCGACGTCGGCCGGCAGT